ACTGAGTTTTCTCTGAAACACCTCTGGCGCGGGACTGATGCCCATTGGCATCCTCAGCCATCTGTATCTGCCATACGGTGTGGCGAATGTGGTCATGTGACTTGACTCCTCATCCAGAGTCACGTGACATCACACACAGTGAAGACTTTTGCTCTAGATAGATCTGGCAGAATGTCATCTATTGTCGCCAGTGGGAAATTACATCTTTTCAGAGTCCTGTTGAGTGGTCTTGGGTCTATGCATATTCTAAGATTTCCTGATGGTTTCCTGACAATTATCCACTCTGTGCTATAGTCTGGTGTGATGATCCCTCTTTGTTGAAGATCAGTCAGCTCTGCTTTTAGTGGTGCCATCATTGCGACAGGAACTCTTCTCTTTGGACGTTTCATTGGAGTTATGTTTGGGTCTGCTTCCATCCTATATGCACCTTCCAAACATCCATCTCCCTGGAAGACGTCAGCATACTCTTTTTTGATATCATCCATGCTCCACATTTCTACTTTCACAGTCTCCTCTGTGACAATACTGTCCACAGCCATGATGTTTTCATACTGAGCTTTCATCAGGTTCATGGCTTGTACTGCCCTGCTGCCCAATAGTGGCACTGCAGATCCCTCATCAACAACCATGAATTCTACTCTGTACAATTTCTTGTTTCTAGGGTTTCGCAGTTTGACTTTACATTTTCCCAGTGGCTGTAGTGTGCTTTTATTGTACATCATCAGCACTTTCTCCGTCTTTTCAATTTGTGTGGCTGGGTTTAGCAGGTTGACAGGAATTATATTACAGCTAGCTCCACAATCTAACTGAAACTTCACCTGTTCTTTTCCTAGGAGCATGGTAGCAAAAAGTTTCGAGGACGGTCTCCATTTATCCTCCATCAGTGTTCACTGTTTCCACACAAGATGTCTTCGTAACTTTCCTCATCTGACTCTGTGACGGTATGTACTTTTCCACAAAACTTGCAGTTTACTGTGTTCTTACCATCATCTTTTCGCACTGCATGTTTTACTGCAAGCACCTCCACTGCCACTCGCCCTTCAATTGTTCTGTTATTTTCTCTTGACAACTGTGTTGCTCTATAGATTTGCACACATTTTTCCAACATCAGATCCTGCTCTCTTAGAAGTCACTCTCTCAAAACAGAGCTTGTTATACCGCAAACAATTCTATCGCGGATCAGAGAGTCTTTTATCTGGCCGAAATTGCACATACTGGTGAGCATTCTTAAGTCCGTTACATATTTGTCAATGTTCTCATCGGAAAACTGATTTCTGACAAAAAAAAAAAACGGTACCTTTCAACTGTCTCGTTCACTTTTGGACTACAATGATCATCCAAAGCTCTTATCAATCGGTCTACAGTCAGATCCGGTGACGAGGAAGGGATTAGGGTCTCGCAAAGCTTTCTTCCCGTCTCCCCAATGAGATAGCTGAAAACTTTCAGTTTCACGTTTTCGCCGGCATCTGCCAAAGTGAGATCCTTATACAGTGTGAATTCTTCTTTCCACGATTTCCATGATTTCGCCAGATTAGTTGAGTCCAAGCAAAGGTTTGCTGGCGGTCTCAGTCCCAATGAATTTTCCATCCACACCGCATCTGAACTCTCCGCTCTCTCGATCATACTAGTCAGCTGTTGTCTCGCGTTGTGTCTAATAAATCTCTGTGCTCTTCTTCAAAAAACAAAGCACCGCTGCCACCATGTTTCATTCTATTCTATACTATTAATAGAATGGACGGTTAATGCTGTTACAGTTGCGTGAATTGCTTTTATTGAACACAACAAATCCAACTTGTACTATCTGGCTTGAACAAACGGTAAACAACCCGTGTCACCTCGAATTCAGTTTGTGCTACAACAACAACCATCCCAACACCTGGGACCCCAAAACATTTATGTTTTTAAAAAGCACTAATCAAAGCAGAAAGACAAAACAATGATGTGACATCATTAGGAACAAATTGATTGACAGTTATAAAAAAATATTTTTTTAAAAATCATCTGTGAGATATGACAAAACATATACTTCTGAGATGTTTAGGGACCCCTGTTGGTAGGATTAGGGTTAACATCCCTACTTTAAATACGATGCCCTCTGTTCTATTGGCATCTTTTCATTGAGACTTTTTGAAAGCTTAGAAATAAATCTTTTTTTGGTTGGAAATAATGTTTAAAATAAACCATTTAACAAATATTATAATATGGGTCATTCTCACAAATTTAAGAATCTTTTGAAAAAATGTTACAGTGAAATAGGTTTAGTTTTATTAAAATTATATTTGTTCTGATTTCATGATTTTTTAGCTATATATATATATACATGTGATTAAACAAATACAAAAGCTGCACCACCCATTATATTTGCGTCAGGAAAAACACACTCTTGTAGCTCTCATCTTCCCTGAGCCCTGCTATCTTATTGATGCTTAAAATCATTTATCAGTGTTTGTTCTCTAATGCAATACCAACTTCAAAGTGCAAGTAATAAAGAGTCAGGAAGTATTCAGCTTACACAAACACAGTGTTCTAGTCTTCAGGCACAATAAAAGCTTTGACAAAGTTTATATAAAAAGAGAAAAGGCCATGTTGGTCAGAGTCTTTTTCTTCATGGTGGGTTAATCAAACACCGCAGCAGGCTGCCCAAATAAGTTCAAATGCGTGCATATTAAAATGGGGCAGATATGGGCCACCCATTTTATAGTTGTGTGCCACCCATATGGGCTTGCCATATGGGAAGAGGTGGAGTCACTGACTGGTATGACTGACTGGTAAAACGATGATTAACCTGTTTATCAGGGCCTGATGAACTGAATTCCTAACATTCATAAAATAGTGACAGACCAATATACCGTCAAAAACAATTATAAATACAGAAAAGCATAGAAAAATAATTGACTAGTTAGTCTGGAGACATAAGCCAAATTTACAAATTCTCAAAAGCAGCCATATTGGTGTAATAGTGTGTCAGGGTCAGCACCCGTCCTTCCCTGCCCTTTGTGTCTCCTCCCTATTTGGCTAGCAGGTGTTGCTGGCCATCCACCTGCTGGCCATCCTCTTCTCTACCATCTCGCTGGAACCAGCCTCACCTGTTTTGTTTAAATATCAGCTTTTGTTGTTCCTAGTGTTTGTTGCAGTTATTTTGCTTCCTTGTTTGGTTTGTTGTGTATGTTCCCTGTTTGATTTTGGTTTTTGTCTAGTGTATGCAGCCCTCTGTGTTATGCCTCCTAGTTTCCGGTTTTGGTGAACGTTAAGGTTTGTTAGTTTCGTGCTTGTTTAAGTGTAATCTGCCCCCCCCTGTTCCTTGTTGTCCTGAGTCCTTTTTGATTTTTTAATTTGATTATACTTTGCACCTCTTCCTTGTTTGCCCTGGTGTTCCTCTGTATTTATGTGCCTGCCTGTGTTCAGTTCCTCAGTGAGTCATTGAATTTGTATTTGTATTACTGTACGTTATAGCCTGCCTTGTTTCCTAGTCCTGCTCCCTGTGTTGTCTGGTTTCCATAATGGTGTTACTTTGAGTTTGTTCTTTGTTTCTTCTGTTTGTTCTCAACCCTTGTGGTCTCTTTATTTTGTAGTTTTCCCCCAGTCGTATTCAGTTCTGTTGATAAACCCCTTTTGTCTGAGAACCATCAGTTTAACACAGATAAATGTAAGGTAATCAGTCACCCTCATTTCCTTGCCAGCATCATGCCCCACACCTGTGATAAGTACAGTATAATAGAAATTCTCCTCCACAGGGATCAGTAAAGTTTTTGTTTTTATTTTATCTCTATTTTGAATTGGAGCTGTGGAGTGTGGATAAATGGGTTAGAGTGATGTGTCTGTGTGGAAAATCACTGGTTCAAATCTATCCCTGTTGGGCTTCTGGGAAATACACTTAACCTCCTAATCGCTCCAGGGAATGTCTGACCCTGTTTTGTTAAATATGCATCTCAATTTGGATAAAAGTGTCTACTAAATAAATTCAGATGGAATTGTTTGAGTAATTTTAATGATTGTCAAGAACATGTACAGTATGTACCATAGCTCTTGGGTGGGTGGCATTGTGTCACTTCACACCAACAGGATTGAGGGTTTGTACCAAAGAACCATAAGAAGGATGATCCTGCAAAATACTGAAGACAGATGTGATGCGTTCTGTGCCTGTTTGTGACTGCAGTAAACCAGCCTTGACGCTGTTCTCTCTTATGGTTATCTGTCCATCCATCTGCGGAAACTGCTTGCCCTATTCAGGGTTGCAGGGGGTCCGGAGCCTATTGTGGAGGCCACAGGTGCAAGGCAGGGAACAACCCAGGATGGGGGCCAACCAGTGCAGGTCACACTCCCACCTATGGGCAATTTGGTAAGTTCAGTTAGTCTCAGCATGTTTTTGGACTGGGGGGGAACTGGAGTACCTGGAGGAAACCCCAGAACAACACAGAAACTCCACACACATGGAATCCTGGCAGAGACTCAAAACCTGGTCCCAGAGGTATGAGGCAACAGTGCTAATCACTGCCCCCCCCCCTTCATGTAGTTTTATTTTAATCTTTTTCTTTTCTGTGACTCATGTTTCCTGTAACATGGAAAGCGAAACTCCATGCCAAATTTACTTTGAATATTTTAATGATTTACATTATGTATGTATGCCTTACTTTTTGCAAGAATGCACAAAATCAAATCCTAGTTTCTAGCTTGCTTCAGAATAATGAACATAAAAATGTAAGGCATGTTATGGAGGCAAACTGGTTTTATGTCTTTTTAATGTATTGGTTTGTGTTGAGGAGGAGGGAATTCTTTACTTTGACACAATATGGGCGTGACAAATCCAGTGTATCTACATTTATCTTTCAATGAAAATGAAAATGAAAGTACAAGGAACACTTCATTCATCGGTCTGAAGGAACTGGCTTAAGTGGATTTTCAGTCCAAGAGGTAAGTGTGAAACCCCATAATCTAATTCTCTCTTATTTTGATTATAATACACCATAAAGTGAGCATATAATTATATTTATTATCATGTCATATGCATGCACTGTTAATTGTAACTGTTTTGTTTGTCTGGTACAGAAAACATCTGTTTATTAATCCAGTAAAGTGACAAGTTGGCAGAAGAAAGTATGGCAAACTTTTGTGATGACTTTGGCGCACCATTTGAATCTCAATTAGAGCATGACGTAAGGAGAGGGAGGAGGAGGTACATCATGTACCATGGTACCACCCTAACAGCTGCATATCATATTAAAAATCACGGATTTCAGCGGTCCAGTGGTGGCATGCTTGGACCTGGAGTCTATGTCAGTCGAAGCTTTCAGAAGGCCAGAGTCTACCCAAAAATTCTACCCTTCAACGAGCGGCGAGCTGTACTCAAGCTGAGGGTTAGAGTAGGAAAAGTAAAGAAGATCGACCGGCAGGGACACCCCCTCCAAAAAACCTGGCATGAGAATGGATATGACACAGCCTGGGTGCCACCCAACTGCGGAATGGTTCCTAGCGGCTTTGAGGAAGATTGTGTTTGGGATCCCAGCAGGATCGAAGTTTTATCTATAATCCCATTATAGTTCTTTATAATCTTCTCTTGTGGAACATAAATGTCATTTTGGAATTGTTAATCTAATTTCATTACTCATCTTTATTTTCTGTCACCTCCTTTTTAACAGTTTAAGGAATGCATTTTTCTTTTAAAACTCAGTACATACATGTTTATTTTGATTAAATAAAATAATCTTCTATGGAGGTTGGCTTCTTTAGCAAGATGCTGTTGAACTTCGATTAATCAGGAAAAATCCATACAAGTATCACAGCATCCAGTTTTATTGTATTAAATGGATGGATGAATGAAAATGGAATATATGGATAAATGCAGGAAAACAATAATAAAAAACAGAATAAGAACAACTTGTTTTTGCATACCCCAGTGAAACTCCAGATGTAAACCTGAAGCAATCTCTCCCCCACTGCCATGTACAGCCATGATGTGGGTACATTAGATGGTATATTATCTAATGTATCTGCATCTCAGATAAAGGATATTCATTATGGCACTTATCAAAATTAGTTTACTTGAAAATGGCTTTAGTCTTTAGTGCTGCACCTTATTGTTTTATATTGCTTAATTTGTATATTCAGTTTCTGTTTCAATAAAACTTCAGTCACTGTCGGACTTGTTGTTCTGTTTCAACATAACAATAAAATCCTGACAGCCTCATTCGATGCTGGACAGATATCTGGGTTTCTGTTTCACCACTGACAACCTGGAAGATGAGCAACTCCTGTTTGCTGCATTCAAACACGAAGGCCACTTTACCATTGTCATGCTATGCTGCTTATCCATATGAGCGTTTGTTTGTATTCAGCTCCCCCTAGTGGTGCTATTCCCACTGGATGTTCGGGAGATTTGTTTGAATAAGAACATAAGAAATTTACAAACGAGAGGGGGCCATTCGGCCCATCAAGCTCGTTTGGGGAGAACTTAACTAATAGCTCAGAGTTGTTAAAATCTTATCTAGCTCTGATTTAAAGGAACCCAGGGTTTTAGCTTCCGCTACACTAGCAGGAAGACTATTCCATACTCTGTGTAAAGAAGTGCTTCCTCAAATTTGTTTTAAAATGTTCTCCCGCGAATTTCCACTTATGGCCACGAGTTCTAGTATTTAGACTAATATTGAAATAGTCATTTGGCTGAACAGCATCCAGACCCGTTAGAATCTTATAGACCTGGATCATGTCCCCCCTTAGTTTCCTTTTCTCAAGGCTAAACAGATTCAGCTCAGCTAACCTCTCCTCATAAGACATTCCTCTAAGACCAGAAATCATTCTAGTAGCCCTCCATTGCACCTTTTCTAAGGCAGCAATGTCCTTCTTAAGGTATGGTGACCAAACCTGCACACAATATTCTAGGTGAGGTCTTACCAAGGAATTACATAATCGTAGCATCACCTCCCTTGAGTTAAACTCCACACACCTATAGATGTAACCCAACATTCTGTTCGCCTTTTT